CAAGAAGCACATACAGGACCAGCCAGGCGGCACCTGGGGAGCCGATGCTTCCCAGGATGGCAGGAGCAAAGTAGGGATGAAGGGTTGCTGTGCAGTAGGGCCCCTGAATTCTAGTCACAGCAGCAGACGAGGCATTTAGGAACAAGGACCGAGGCAGATGCCACATGACAGAAACCAGAGCCCACAAGGCTGACTGGGACGCATAGCCAGGCATGAGTGCAGGCATCAGAACTGGGCACTGCTCAGGCTTGAACCCTTGACTTTAAAATGGAGGACTGGGTTTATTGAATTATTAATTCCTCTGGATGCAGATCAAGGTGGGTCCTGAGAATGGGGGGACACTGTGCCAAGGAATCAGGTACCCTGGCCTTGAAAGGAAGAAGGGGAAATTCAGAGGCTGAGGAGCCTCCTGGCCTGACACAAAATGCAGGATTCAGCATCAACTGCTTGATGTTGCTGCCTCCCAAACCCTATCTTCGTTAAAACTAAAAAGTAGTTACAATGTTCAGGAATGCTGCTCTTAAAAGAAGTAAATTTACCATCAGGCATTAAAAACTATACTTAAATATTCTAAAATCAGGGCCAGGCATGGTGGCTCATGCCTGTAATCCCAGCACTTTGGGAGGCCACAGCAGGAGGGTTGCTTGAGCCCAGGAGTTTGAGGTTGCTGTGAGCTATGATGACGCTACTGTCTGTACTCTACCTATGGAAACAGAGCGAGACCCTGTATCAAAAAAAAAAAATTAAAAACAAAACTAGTATTTTTTATTGTAATCACTTTATGTTTCATTCTATTATGAGATAAGAAGACTTCTTGTATCTGTCACACACAAAAAAATATCTTTTAAGTCTGGGCACAGTGCCTAACACCTGTAATCCTAGCAATCTGGGAGGCTGAGGCAGGAGGCTTGCTTGAGGTTAGGAGTTCAAGACCAGTCTGAGTGAGAGTGAGACCCCATCTCTACAAAAATACAAAAATTAGCCGGGCATGCTGGTATGTGCCTATAGTCCCCGCTACTCAGGAGGCTGAAGCAGGAGAATCACTTGAACCAGGGGGCTTGAAGTTGCAGTGAGCTATGATGATGCCACCACACTCTAACCTGGGTGACAGAGCAAGACCCTGTCTCCAAAAAAAAAAAAAAAAAAAAAAAAAATCTCTTAAAAGTTTGTCTGCTGCTGTCGAGCAGCTTTGCTTATTTAGCATGTAGCCTCTATTAATCTGCTTTACCGTTGATGAGGCTGGGGTGATGCCTTTTGTAAAGTATTCAATCGAACCATATGAAATTCCTGATATTTGACTGTGTTTGACATCTAAAAACTGTAATTTCATATGGGTCCACTTAATATTTGCTGCTGTCTCTTCCTTCTTTTCCTGCAAATGCCAGATTCCTCTGTGAATTAAAGAGGAATGAGAAAATACTCTGCTCCATCAAAAAACTCAGGCCTCCAACAGAGAGCTGCTGCTCAGCACTCGCTCTCAGCCTGTGGTTTTTAAGCTTGCTTATCTCCGTCCATAACGAACTGAAATTTGAATATATTACTTCCCCATCATTCAGAAACGGAAATTTTACCACGACCAACAAAGCTTTAAATCTTAGAAATTTCAGCTTATGTCAGAAATTTTCTAAAAAGACTATGTCTTTCTGAACCATATTTCCCCAATATTAGGCTAAATCCAAAGCTTCAAAAGTAAATTTGAAATGTTTTCATCACACCCAGGATGTCCACTTCAATCTTTTTTCCTATGTGAATAGATTTATACAAACTCATACATGTCTTAAACACGTACGCACGGGCACACACACATGCACGCACATCCACACACGAGTAAGGTCTGAGTTTGCAAGATGGCAGGCTAAAGCTTGGGATGCATCTCTCTGACATAACTATCTTTCTGCAAGAGCGCTGGTGAGCACAGGTTGCAGGGCAGAAGCTAGCTCGCAGCAGACTCTCAGCACCGCTTCTGAGGTTCAAACAGTGAAGACAATTCTATCTGAAATTCCCTCACCCCCACTTCTGTGCTCCCTTTTATCTCTCATCGTTATCTTCTTTCAAATTCTTTACCAGCATCTCCTGCAAAGCATGTTTTGTCATTTCATACATTCTTTTGAACTTCACACTTGATTCTTCTTTGTGGAATCTGTAACTGTGTCCTCACACGCCCTGCCTCCCAGAGCCAGGGGCTGTTCCCTGGTAGTGTCGGGGTGCCATTTGGTTTTGCACTCCTTGTTACCAGAGAGACAAGAGGAGCTAGAATGAAATCAGGATATGGGTGAATGGTAAAGTGACTAGACAGACAGACTGATTTATGAATAAAGATTGTGGGAAACAAAATTTCTCTCAACATCAGCAAGTACTGAGCAGGAAGCTGTTTGGTGGCTGTCTGCAAATGCTGGACAGATCAGCCTTAGGAAGAGAGCATTAGGACTACACATGTGAACCAAGCAGGGATGTCGATATGAAATTAAGGTAAAGAAAATTCATGACTATAATGATCATTTAAAATTCTCAAATTGGGAATATGTGTTAGATGGATAGCAAAGCTTCTGAGTGTCCTAATGAAATAGCATCTTAATGAAAACCCAGCTGTGCTTGATAAAACCATTTCTCAGTCTCTCTGAGGTTAGCCTGATGCTTTCCAACTTTTATCTGCAGAAAGTTCTTTCTAAAATCTCCCTTAATCTTGTTCGGTACAGCTTAACCAGATCACTCCTGTGCTGTTCCTGCTGAAAATGGTGCTTCACCCCAGGACTCACACATATGCCAGCATCCGCCCCCCATAACCATGACAAAGCAAGTGCTGCTGTAGCCTGTAAATACCTGCCTCTGAGGCTCTGCACAGAAGTTATGCTGCGGTTCCCTGCACATTTCTTTTGTAGATGATGTTAAAAACCATGCCTCACTTCTGCCTCCTGATTAGTGCTAATAATTAAGTGATCTGTTTAGGGGCTTCCCAAGAAAGTTGCTGACACTATGTGATCCTCTTTTCTTACTTGTAAGATAAATCTTTGGGTATTTAGCAATATATATTAGAAATAATATATATAAAACACCTGGTATTTTAATGGGCTTATAGTATACACTCAATAGGGGTAGTGTTTTTATTCTTATTATAAATTATATTTATTGGTACATATGTCCAAACTTACTCACTAGATTTGTATTCTCTCAAGAGCCTAGCATGTGGCAAATGCTCAGTTAATGGATTGTTGAATAAACAGCTGAATGGATGAACGAACCAGTAGATCAATACCAGTTACTATAAATGACAGAACATGCATATAAAGGGGCATTTCTTTCTGCAGCAAAGGCTGCTGGTCAACCACAATGTGGGTGCATATCCACCCTGTCCTGTTGGGCCAGGCTGGTGTCATCTCCACCGCCTCATCCCCAATTCCAGAGGTCCATTCTACATGCAGGTTGGTACTAGAGTCCTTCTGGGGTTAGATTGCTTATGGGCTCTCCCTAGAAAATTCATTCTACTTTAAAATAGAAGAAAATATGCTTTGGTCCTTATTTTATCATGACCTTAAATTGACAAAAGAAAACTTTTATGTATTCAGAAAGAATTTATTATATATCATATATCAGCAAATTTACAGTGAACTTTTTAAAAAGAACCAACTGCCTCAGTGTTGACACACTTGACCCAGTGCTTTCCTAGATGTAGCCGATGGTCACACTGTGATGGTTATAGCAGCTACCATTTCGTGTGTGTGTGTGTGTGTGTGTGTGTGTGTGTGTGTGTGTGTAGAGAGAGAGAGAGAGATATTTATCATGGTTAAAACACCCTCATGAGTCATGTCACTGGGGAGAACCCCTAAGCTCAGGCATGAAGTGTCTTCCCCAGCATAGTGCACAGGTGACCTGTCATGGCTGCCTTATTCCTAGCAGCAGCAGAGGTTTTGGGCCTCCTGGGACATAGACATGTGGTCACAGGAATCTAATACAGCCATCTGATCAGCCTGTGGAAGGAACCAGATCATTTGCCCTGGCAGATTCTTCTGCCAGTAGCCTGCTATTGGGCTCCAGCAACATCCAGAATTTAGGATTCAGCCTCACTGTTGTGAGGGACGAGAAAAGTCTTGTCCAGCCTGGGCCTGGGCCTCTCCTCTCTCACCTCAAGGTGTCCTTTCACATCTGAACACAAATCATCCTAGCAGGTTTCAGGAGGGTTAAGCAGAAATGCAGATATAGTGTTTCTGGATGCATGATGAAGAAATGAAAGCATATTCTCTCATACTAGTAAATATATTTAATTACCCATAGTATTTTATGATATAGATAGTCAAACCACGGCATAAATATTGAAGGATATGAACTTTGAGGCAAGTATTACAGGACATTTTCATTCCTCCATGGGAAACACATCTGTATGCTATCCCTAGATTTTTTTTTTTTTTTTTTTTTTTGAGACAGAGTCTCACTTTTGTTGCCCAGGCTAGAGTGAGTGCCGTGGCGTCAGCCTCGCTCACAGCAACCTCAAATTCCTGGGCTCAAGCGATCCTCCTGCCTCAGCCTCCCAAGTAGCTGGGACTACAGGCATGTGCCACCATGCCCGGCTAATTTTTTGTATATATACTTTTAGTTGGTCAATTAATTTCTTTCTATTTTTAGTAGAGACGGGGTCTCGCTCAGGCTGGTTTCGAACTCCCGACCTCGAGCAATCCGCCCGCCTTGGCCTCCCAGAGTGCTAGGATTACAGGCGTGAGCCACCGCGCCCGGCCTATCCCTAGATTTTTAAGGTTCCAAAACTGTAAATGCCATATGTCCTGATGAGTCTACCTACCGTACTTTGTTTACCAGTGCCTATGGTTCTAGAAACTGAGATTTCCTCAAAAAGTAACATGAAAAGAAACTGTTGAATGTGTTCAGTGAGAGAAGAATGTCTCTCATTCAGGTTTTAAATATGAGATGTAAGTCAGTCTGCTCCAATGACAGTGGTTCCCTGATTTATCACTTTATGCTGACGACTGTGCTCTCATTTTTATACAAACCAGTGCTTTTGGCTGCCCGTATTCGGACATGAACTTGAAAAAGGAGGCAACACTTCTTGATCGTCTGAGAGAACAAACACAGGCAAATTTGGAATCAGACTCTTCATATTCAAAATCGAAAAACCTCTGTAGTTTGAAATTCAATGGAAAATATGAAAAGGTGAACAGTCAGCCCAGGTAAGAAACTTTTCAAAAATGTGAACCAGAAAGTAAACCAGGTAGCATAGTAAAAGAACAAATCTGTTAATAGTAATAATTCCTTCTGTTTCTTTTTATTTCTGGATATCATTGTGTTCACTGGCTCATAGAATTCATCTAAGCTCTGATCTTCATTTAAAAACTAGTTTCTATTGCTCCATCCTCAAATAACTGAATTTACTTCTTTCTGAATGTACATATTATATAAAAAGCATTAGAAAGTATATCTTATCTGTTCAATTCTGAAAGATTTCCTTTTATCTTAAAAATGTCTTTATTCTTTAAAACCATTTCATAGATGTTACCTCTTTGGGCACATGGTCGAGCATGTGTATTAGTCATATCAGAATTTCCTCTCATTCCTGTTTTTTGTCTTTGTCATCTGTACTGTAAACGTACCTCAGATATGATTTCTTCTTACTCTGAATAGTTTCCATTTTGCTGTATTGACAACACACCTAAATGTAAACTTGCAATTTTAAGTATCAGTTTTTAATTTTTATTTACATATGCTAATTTCCTAAGGAGCTGCAAATACAACCTTGTTTGATATGTTTTATCCTAAATGAGTAAAGCAAACTAAATAAGATCTTTCTCAAAAGAGCTCCAAACCCATGCTGGGAATTATAAACACAGGAAAGGCTAAGTGACTGGAGACCAGACAGAGAAGTGAGAAGTGGGTGTTTCCCAGACCCTGCTGTATCCAGAAGGCAGTCACATTCATGACCTTACGACCCTAGACCCTGTCTGTGCAAGCTTTGAGGGGACAGCTGCTTCTCCTAAACCTTAGAGCCTTGCTCTTTCCTTTCAGCGTGTGTGAAATGAAGAAGCACACACCTCTCTGTGGGTGCCGAGTTTTCATGGAACAGCCTTCTGCTCACTTACACCTCAGTCCCAGCGGGGGGTGGGGAGAGACTTCATTCCCAAGGGGCCACCTGTTCATTGGGAGAATTTGGCTCATAGGATATACTTTTCATGTGGATTTTACATCCTGGACTATGGATTTTATTTTTTTTATTCACGCCTATGTTGTTTTAGAGCATTTGGATGACATTTCATTCTTATTAAACTTTCATTATTTTGATTTTGATCTTTGCACACAACTACAGATTAGCACTTCTCTCTATTGCACGATCTATTTCCTATGGATACGCATGCCCCTCTATTTCTGTAGCTGTATCTTGCATTTTTATTATTTGTTATACACCCACTCCTCTTGTTGAAACTTCACAGGGTCTCGTTGTTCTTTACTGCTGTTTCACACCCACACTGTTTACAACTTTAAGGAGTAGAGAGCTTGAACATCCTTTCCATCTCCTGGTTGAGAGATAATTTTTTTTCTTTTTCTTAAACCATTTTCGAAGGAACAGTGTTTATTTATTCCAGAATTATAGAGACCAGTACATCCATTTGCCCTTATTCTTTTTGCTATGCTCTGTTGTATCTTTTTCCAAATAAAAACCAGTCTCTCTTGCAAATATTTTAGACATTCATTTTCAATGTCAAAAATCACAGAAACTAAACAGATCTTTGAACTGCTTTTAAAAAATTATCATTCTGTTGTATTCCCTCCGAGGTTAGCTAAGCTTTTCTTTGTAGCAAACACAGATACGTTGCCTCCACTATTTTGAACTCTCATAGGAACTTACCCTTTTTAATGTATTATTATGCGCTTTAGCATTTTGAGGAGGCTTTGCACTGAAGCATACCAGATAGGCATAATTACTACCAACAGAGACAAAAAGTAGAGAATGCAAGTTGATAACTGAGCAGAAAAATCACAGGCGATGCTATTCTGCCAAATCCTATTCCCTGTGCGCACAGGGCTCTGTAAGGAGCTGGGGCTGGGGGAGTCGTACCGTGTACATCGTGAGTCCCAAAGCCTTCTTTTGCTTTCAGATCTCAAGACCAGAGACATCCTTGCACCACAGTCCTCCTCTACCTTTTTTCTAACCAATCATCATAATGATGTTTGGATAAATAGTATTAGCAGCTGCGCCTCCTTGTATTCTGTCCCCATCTCTGTGACATCCTGTTCGTAGTCTTAAATTCCCCCATAATATGCTGAAATAACAAAAATTAAAAAGTTCCAGGGTGAGGGGAAACAAGATAACAAGGAAATCAACAGGAATAATATGTAGGCTAATTATGCACAGATAAAAATATATTTTAACACTCTTCACAGTGTACTTGTAGTGCTTTCCTGAGGCTGCCTTTCCTGCAACCCAAATTTTTGCTCTTGAAATCGCCAGATATCAGGTACAGATGGAGGAGAATATTTACATTTCATCTCTCCTCTTCTGCATATTGAGGAGTAATAATTTTTACTTGGCCTGTGTCCTAGGATAGGGGTGGGGTTTAAATTGGTGAAAATTAGAGCTGCAATTTCCACTGGCCTCCAATCTATCCATCCACCACTGAGCTCTGGACGCGCCTTCTGTAATTTCTCACACAAGCAAACTTAGGATCTCCAGACTTCTTAAAATTCAAGTGCAGCATATAAAATTAACTCTTCTTTGACATTCTTCCAAATTCAATCAGACATTGCCCAGCAATTTAAAGAATTTTGTCTTTTCTTTAACTGCATCCCAGTTTTGCAGTTATTTTTAAAAAGGATGTTGCTCTCCTATCAATATTTGTAGGGTGTTATTATTAATAAACTTATGACTCTACTGCATGATTTAGTAGTAGAAATAGTCTATGTTCACTTTTTTTAGCAAAGGGTCACATTTTAAATTTGAGTTGTATTACATATATCCTATTAGATATCTGAAAGATTTGCCTACATACCAGTACGACATACATGATATATTAACCATGAAGAGCAGACTCACAATAGGTCATCATTACTGAAAAGCTATATGTATTCCTTTTTTCCTTGTGCTAGTAGAGTGAGCAGTATTATATTCATGGTGCATGTGCTGGAAGCAGATGGCCTTACGCTTGAGTTCTTTCATTTGGGCATATACTCTGTGAATGGGGTAGAAATACCTTTAATTTGTTTAAGAGTTTCTAGCTTACACATATATATTACTTTTGGAGCTCCTCATGATCTCGTGATTTAGGCAAAGCAGACATTATTGTCATCATGATATTGCCATTTATAGGTGAGGAAATAGAGACCCTTACTACTAGCTCTTCCAGGACTCAAACATAGATCTCCTGATTAAATCCAGAGTAATTGCAGTATAGTAAACTAATAATAATATCACCAGAAGTATCAGTAATAATATCTGTCTACTATTAATATCACACACTTACTTGGGGCAGCAAAGCATTGTGCTAAACAATTTATACACATCATCTTGTTAATTTTATTTCATCCTCACAACAACCCTGTGTGTTGTAAGTTTTCTTATTCTGATTTTATACTGTAGACACCTGAGGGTTCAGAGAGGTTAGGCAGTGTCCAAGATCACACAGATAATCAGTAGAAAAGTGGGGATTTGACTTTTCCTCTGCCTGGCTCCAAATCCCATGCACGTTTCAACTTCATTAGAATACCAAAAGAATAACAATTTAAGGCTTTGAAAAGGCCTCGCTAAGTTTATATTTAGACTACTTTCTACTTCTGGGATTCTCAGGTTCATCTTGTGATACATCTATTTCTTATTTTGTGAAAAAAGAATTACTGAAGGCGAAGAATCTTACCATGTTTTCCCTAAACTGTTTATTCTTATTTGCACTATATATAATACAAAATTTTCCAACTTGAACACATTTTACTATAATATACTAAAGACTTCTATCTGCAACAAGAGAATAAAATTATAGTCATTAAAACATTTTTATCATGAAGAAAATTACTTTGAAATGCAACTTCCCCCACCCCCTCTATTATCTCTTAGCTGGTTTCCCCAGGCCTGAGGACGATATTTTTTTCAAGCATCTTCCACCCACTTAAGTGTTCTTTAATAACTTCTTTTTCCTCCCCAAAGCATTGTTCTATATATTCTAATTCATACAATTGATAGCTCCACCATTTGTTAAAATACCTTCCCTGCTATTCAATCATTGCTATTAAGAAAATGCCTAATAAAGCCCACTTTGTTTTTCCTGATGCCTGTTGTATTATAAATTGTGTGCAAAAGGCCTATATTGGTAATAAAAATGACTGGGGAAAATTATGATAATCAGAGAGAACGGTATGTAGTGGAATAGTTCCTTAATGATCCTGATAATAAATTGCACTGCCAGGAACCGACTAGTTTAGTTCCATTCCTCTAATTATCTGCAGCATAAATACCTTCTATGAGGTCCATCCTCAGGATTATAACAGTGTTGGTTGATAGTTCCACACATTAACCATCCAAATCAGTAAATAGGTTTCCTTGAATCCACCAGGCTTTTCTCTCACTTCCTCCCACGTAAGTCCTCTGCTTTGCAAGGCAGAGCCCACTCAGTACCCCCACTTGCTCCCCGTCGTCATCTGCAATGCCGTGTCACTGCGCTTGTGCCTTGGTTCCCACCCGCTTATTCTTCCTGTCTACACTCTCTCACTTCCCCCTCTGCCTTGCAGTTTCCTGTAGCAGCTCCAACCTGTAGGAGTTTCATAAGGTTACAGAATGGGTTTTGCATGTCTCTGTATTTTTAACACCCAGTATAATGCCTGACACTTAGTAAGCACTCAACAAATTCAATAGATTTTGAGTAAGCACTATGTGCCAGGGATGGTAGCAGGCACTCCTCTGTCCCTTTGGTCCCTACCACACATCAGCAGCTCATTTGTGTGTATGTGCATGTACCACCTTTTTAATACTTGTTTTATCTTTTATTTTCTAAAAAAAACTGTAGGCTGTTAAAGGAGAAGAACCAATTTCCATTGTGCTTTCAGTGTTTCTTCATTCCTTCACATCAGAGGTCCTTAGTGTATCTAAGATGATTGATTAAGTTATATGTATTTATTTTCCTTTTATAGTCTGAATTTCTTTACCTGTAAAATGGATATAAATGTGAGGCTTATGTAAGATTTGGAATAC